CCTGTTGTAATATTAAAGCAGTGTTGGAAATCTACCAGAAGGATTTGAAAGGTTTTGTACTTTTTAGGATTAATTAACCCATGCACTTGTAGCACATTGTATTGCATTGTGTTTATTCACTGAAGAATCAATAAAACAAAAGTGTTTCGGGAACTACAGTGAGTAATAGGCAGGGCGGTTTAGGGTGCTGCTGTGAGTAATAGGCAGGGTGGTTTGAGGTGCTGCAGTGAGTAATAGGCAGGGTGGTTTGGGGTGCTGCAGTGAGTAATAGGCAGGGTGGTTTAGGGTGCTGCAGTGAGTAGTAGGCAGGGTGGTTTGAGGTGCTGCAGTGAGTAATAGGCAGGGTGGTTTGAGGTGCTGCAGTGAGTAATAGGCAGGGTGGTTTGGGGTGCTGCAGTGAGTAATAGGCAGGGTGGTTTAGGGTGCTGCAGTGAGTAATAGGCAGGGTGGTTTTAGGTGCTGCAGCGAGTAATAGGCAGGGTGGTTTGGGGTGCTGCAGTGAGTAATAGGCAGGGTGGTTTGGGGCGCTACAGTGAGTAATAGGCTGGGTGGTTTGGGGTGCTGCAGTGAGTAATAGGCAGGGTGGTTTAGGGTGCTGCAGTGAGTAATAGGCAGGGTGGTTTTAGGTGCTGCAGTGAGTAATAGGCAGGGTGGTTTGGGGTGCTGCAGTGAGTAATAGGCAGGGTGGTTTGAGGTGCTGCAGCGAGTAATAGGCAGGGTGGTTTGGGGTGCTGCAGTGAGTAATAGGCAGGGTGGTTTGGGGCGCTACAGTGAGTAATAGGCTGGGTGGTTTGAGGTGCTGCATTGAGTAATAGGCAGGGTGGTTTGGGGTGCTGCAGTGAGTAATAGTCCGGGTGGTTTGGGGTGCTGCAGTGAGTAATAGGCAGGGTGGTTTGGGGTGCTGCAGTGAGTAATAGGCAGGGTGGTTTGAGGTGCTGCAGTGAGTAATAGGCAGGGTGGTTTGAGGTGCTGCAGTGAGTAATAGGCAGGGTGGTTTGGAGTGCTACAGTGAGTAATAGGCAGGGTGGTTTCGGGTGCTATAGTGAGTAATAGGCAGGGTGGTTTGGGGTGCTGCAGTGAGTAATAGGCACGGTGGTTTGGGGTGCTGCAGTGAGTAATAGGCAGGGTGGTTTGGGGTGCTGCAGTGAGTAATAGGCAGGGTGGTTTGGGGTGCTGCAGTGAGTAATAGGCTGGGTGGTTTGGGGTGCTGCAGTGAGTAATAGGCAGGGTGGTTTGGAGTGCTACAGTGAGTAATAGGCAGGGTGGTTTCGGGTGCTATAGTGAGTAATAGGCACGGTGGTTTGGGGTGCTGCAGTGAGTAATAGGCAGGGTGGTTTGAGGTGCTGCAGTGAGTAATAGGCAGGGTGGTTTGGGGTGCTGCAGTGAGTAATAGTCAGGGTGGTTTGGGGTGCTGCAGTGAGTAATAGGCAGGGTGGTTTAGGGTGCTGCAGTGAGTAATAGGCTGGGTGGTTTGGGGTGCTGCAGTGAGTAATAGGCAGGGTGGTTTGGAGTGCTACAGTGAGTAATAGGCAGGGTGGTTTCGGGTGCTATAGTGAGTAATAGGCACGGTGGTTTGGGGTGCTACAGTGAGTAATAGGCAGGGTGGTTTGGGGTGCTGCAGTGAGTAATAGGCAGGGTGGTTTGGGGTGCTGCAGTGAGTAATAGTCAGGGTGGTTTGGGGCACTACAGTGAGTAATAGGCAGAGTAATTTGGGTTGCTGCAGTGACTAAAGGGTGAAGGAAGATTTTAGAAGTACGGAAGTTTGAGTACGTTGGATTTCCTGTACAGTAGGGCTTTTGAAGAATACAGAAAGTTTACCCCAAATGCCTAGGATAGTAGGTTAAATGAATCCCATTCCATATTATGCCCATTCCTTGAAAACGTGCTAGTGTGGAGGACATTAAAGCCATACTGGCAGGTACCCCCTCCCTATACAGGTAGTGTTGTTTAATTATAGACTTACAGTGTTTCTAAATTTAGCATGTCCTCCCCAAGGCAGCTTTAGCACAGCTAGCACGTTCGTGACAATCCTTGATTAAATGTTCTGACGTGGGAAATCATGTCATACATTCACCTGCGAATGTCCATGTAGGATTACCATTTTTATTTGACCCACGTTTGACCTGATAACGCTACGTGACGGTTCATTAGGGGGTGATTAGGAGGCAGACATGCTGTCTGACTTTCTTTAAATGTCTTAAATATGTAATACCCGCTGCCATAGATACATCTCGATAACTGTTGAATACAGCCAGTGATCAATCATGATGGCAGTTCATATCACAGAAGCGACTTAATATAAGAGAAGAATGAGTCGAGACTTAATAGCAGTTGACTCCAAAGAAAAGCCGAGAAATGCAAAGTAACGATGCGAAGAGAATCAAATGTGGAATCCATAGATGCAGCGGGGGAAAATAAATGTTCAGGCAGTTTGCAGACTGAGAAACAGCATGGGACGTCAGCCATGCAGAAAAACTGAAAGATACACTTATGCAGTTATTGGCTTATGTTCGCTTGATTTATCAGCCGTTTGCCGAGCTGTACGGTCCCCCGATCTTCGCGTCTCGTCCTGACTATCTCCCAGATCGATATCAAGTTTGTCTTGCAACCATTTCACATTTTAATTTTCTCCTTCACCTCCCACCCCCCCCCTCCATTTTTTTTCTCTGTCCATGTGAGTTGACCGTAAATGGACAGCCGATACCGTCCTGAAAATTGCATTAAGCATTCTGGGTTTCACACTTGCGTTGTTGCGACTCACAGTGTCGGGTGTTAACTCGCACTGTGTCGCAGTCTGAACGGCAGGAATTTATTGGCTTAGATTTATTGTGAGTGGGTATCAAGTTGTCCTGGCAATGTTTTTCATGACTATATCATGTCTTTTTTTATATCTTTCCCTTTTTGATTACTATAGATTGTAATTTTTATTTAAGTGGTTAGTTAGTCCTATAAGACTTATAAGTTGAACTGGCTCAAACCACATGTGTGTTTTTGTAGTATTTCAACAGATTTAGACCCGTACTGCCCAGTCATTGTCCCTTCTAATTAGGCTTGATTTACAAAAATTGTACCACAGGTTTACTGCTTCGTTTGCTGTTGATGATGTTGCGTTTCAGGGAAACTTTCTAGGAAGAAAGCTTGGTGGAGGGTCCCGGGGGGGGGGGGGGTCAAGGAATTGCATCATCTTTATTGTGAGATCTCAATGCTTGCAGATAAAAATTACTACATGTACATGTGTACATGGGAATGTGTCCAAACTGATTTCATCCAGAAAACGGTCTTTCTCTGGACATTGCATGTATAATTGCAAATATTCTAGAAAAATTGGACAATATGTTAGCATTTCTTCTTAATTTAACAGTTTAAAAAGAATATTTGTGATTTCAGAAGTATTGAGCATCATTTCTATCAGTTAGAACTTTATGTTTTTGTCCACATGTGCTAAGGCTGTGCTAAATATACCAAATATTTGATCTAAATATTCAAAATATTTGATCATCCACTGAATATTCAAATAGCAGGTTTTTTATATGAATATTCAAAACAAGTGAGTGGTCTGGAGAACATGAAGTAAAATGGTAGGGCCAGTATCACAACTCCAGCGGTACCACTTACGATAATTTATTCGTACGTCAACGGGCCAGTATGTTTATTCATGAGAACAGAACAGTGATATCAAGAGCATTGTTATTTAGTCCACCATCACATTAAAGCATTTTTAAGAACGGTTGTCAACGAGCTACCACACAGTAGCCTAGTGGATAGTGAGATGAGCTATGGATACAAAGATCCCTGGTTCGAATCCGTGTCGTCGCTGCTCATTTTCATCGGCAACTTTTCTTCTCTGAGTTTATCGTTGAGATAATTTTAATTTAAGGGGAAAAGAGAACGAGAAAGTGTCTTGCAGTGATTCAAAGGAAAAACATAAATTATCATAAGTGGTACCACTGGAGTTGTGATACTGGCACTACCAAGAAAAATGTCCATGATGCTAGTTAAATTGTTCGTATCAGTTGACTGAAAATCACCTTTATGTTCATTTCATACAATCATATCCAAACGGATTAATCTTCAAAACTGCAAATGCATTTTTTCAAACAGTTATGCAATTTAAAAGACAAATGCTCCCTGTTGTGTGGTTCACCATCTGGAGAACATTATTTTTTTCCCCTTTTTTCGAAGCAATCCTTCAGCAGTAATTTCCCATGGAAACAAAATTAGCCGACTATAACACAATTTAGATGCTAGACGGCGGAAGTAATGCAATTCATGCGTCGTGGGAGACTTTTCATTCAAGAAAGAATTTGTTTCCCCCATAGGAGAGTTCAGACTGAGATGAGACAAGTCCCTGCGATGTTTGTTTCAATCTTTTTTTTTTCCCTCTAAATTCTGGAGTTGAAATAAACTAAACAATCAATACTGAAGGAAAAAAGGTATAAGTGCTTTATGTGTGAATGTAAATATATTTTTATTGTGAATATATTTTGCTTTTTCACCCTTAATTACCAAATAAACTGACTGGCTTCACTTTTAATCAGTACAAGGATGGACAAAGAAATTGACGAGCAGGATTCGATCCTGGGACCTCTTGAACATGGCACCAACACTCTACCAACTGTAGCCTTAAGCCCGGTTCAAACTTTATGCGAATGCGAAGGGAATTTGTTGTCAAGAAGCATTCGCTGCAAACTTTGCCGGAGTTGAAATGTGTTCAACTTTTGCGAATTTTCGGCGCGAAAACTCCCCCTGACGTCACAAATTCGTGATCGCGTTTGCTTTTGCAACGAGTATGGACCGGCCTTTATGTTGTTGGTTCCTATTTTGTCTTTTTTAGGAGCACATCAGTAAAAACCTGCATGTGCTTGTAGCATGTGGCTAGGGATCACTTCTAAAGCCTTGATGTTCTTAACATTAATAGTGTGGCAAACCTTTGAAATGTTTGTTTTTCTAAGACACTTTTGAAAAATTAAGGACCATTCCTTTTTGACAAATCTTTGTAGCTTGAAAAGAACGACCACGTAGCCTTTGATGCACCAAGTACGAGGGAATGGAGAACGGAAGACGACATGCGGCAAGAGGCATTCAATCTTAGACAACTTTTCCCTGAAACGTACACCAAAGACCTCTGATGTTAAGGTAAAGTACTTTTCAGTAGTATTACAACCAGGGCCCTTTTGCTCACTATAAAAAACACCATAAGTAATTACTAGTCGAATAAATAAATAAAATTTAAACAATTACAAACTACATTATTAGTTATCCCGCGAGCGCTCGTGGAACACGGAATAATGTAGTGTGCCTGTGTCCCACATACCACTCGGCCGAATATGTGGGACACAGACGCACCACATTTTCCTGTGTTCCACGAGCGCGAGCGTGATAACGAATTTATCTTCAAGCAAACTTGACGCGCAGTAAAGTTGGACCATCGCTTTACACGAACCTTTTAGTGGTTTAGCGCTTGCAGCTGGAATGTCGCTCGCATGTTGGAATAGCGCAATACGCAGGGTGCGATATAGACCGTGCAATACAGCCTCATATCACACTGCTGTTGCCATGGATCGACCAATCAGGATCGAGGATACAAGTTTGCTTGAAGATAAGTACTTATATCGAGAGTTAAAATTGATATAAAACTTCTCTAAAAATATTCCTTTATATACATATCATCCACTTTTGGTTTTTCGCTCCAGGTTATATTCAACATGTACATAAATTTAAACTGATGCCTGGATGACATCCATGATCTCCCTGCTTAGACACGAGGTGAAGTAAACATCCCTTCTGCTTTGCTCCGGGCCTCAGCCTGCCAATCCCCCCCCCCCCCCCCATTTGCTCAGCGACATGATAAATTCCCAACAGGTGACTGGCCTGATGTGTTACAAACCCTCAAGGCACAGTGAGATCCTCGGTTATTACATCCTCTCATGTTTGAACACATGACGAAGAAGGACTTCGTAACCCAAGTAAACGGCTTTGTGATATAAGACAGAGTTGGCAGCAATTTAAAATCTGTCTCCCTGAGCCCCCTTTTGTCTTGGACTTGGTTAAGGCTGCAATATTCAGAGGCAAATATGATACCGTTAGGTATGAATAGAAGGATGGACATGACACGGCTGGTTTAGATAGATTTCCCCCTCCATCAGCCAGTGGCAACTTTGATGGAAATAAAAGACTTTAGAACTGCAGCTGAGGAAAACTGGACTCAATTGATGTAAACGTCTTGTGAGAGATCTTCAACTTCTTAGAAACTCTACAATACTGGCCCAATGAGTAGCCCATCATTAAGCCTGATTTTTCTAAAATTGTGAAAGTTTTTGATTTTCCTGCTCAGTCATCAACCCATGTGACTCTACCCCACAAGTCATTCAGTCTTAAATCCAGTGACACGCTCTTCAAATGAACTTAAAGCTAGAGTCCATCATTTGCAGCCATCCGAAAAAGTGACTGGCGTATTATTGTTGAAAAACATACTTGGTTGAAAGATAGTAAGTGGACTAAACTCCCTGTGAAATTGATCTTTCTGGCAAGCTATCATTTTGAAGTAATCAACGAAAGAAGGCCTTTCCAATGGTGCGTCTTAAGACGCACCGTAGGAAAATTTAAATTAGTAGTTCCTTTCGTTATTCCGCGCAGCGCGCGCAAGCATTGGCACGACGCACAGACGCGCGCGGTTGCTATAATTCATCGGATCAGTGCGCGACATCGCGTATAGCTGCAAACTATTCAAAACATGATTCAGCAACTTTTGATTTGAAATTGAGATCCTAGAATGCTGTTTTTCTCGGAATATACAGCTGAAGCTGAGCTGAAACTTCATCAGATTAGTTGTTCAGTATCCTTCATTAGATTTTGAACACTTTTGTTGCTTCAAACGAACAAAAAGCACACATTACAAATGATCGACTATATCTTTAAAGAAAGGCATTCCTTTGTCAGTGTTCATCGCCTGTGACTTGTGACCGGACTTGCGATTGACACGATTACCTACCCTGTGATTCCCACCGCTGCAAAGCACCCATTGACAGGGAAGTTTTCATGTTTCAGTAGTCATCAGTCCCATTTATACAGCAGACATTTTGTCCCTATAAAGCAAGTTAACTTTTATTGGCAGGCGCCAGCTTTCTGCAATTCACAGAATATGTATGCAAAACCAGGCCGGGTCAAACTTAAGGTTCATGTGTAACCATCTGTTGTGGTGGTGTTTTTTATCGAATTCTCTGACTCTTTATACAAATTACGGTCAAATGACAGCAGTTGGTTTCATATGCTAATTGGCATGTCTTCGTGGTCGTTGACTCCCACATTGCGACGGGATCCGGAAAGTAATTGAGGCATAAATAGCTCCTTCAGGTCAACGCATGCATAAAGCGTTTCCCTGTCTGTTTTGTACTTCAAACGTGCCCCAATGTCTGTGATCTCGGTGGTAACTGAATACATCAAGTCTGTTCATTGCTCCCAAACCAGAAAGACTGAACTTGCTGCTTGGGTTGTGTGTGTGATTCTCCTTTACCGCTTTCTGAAGTAATCCTTGGCCACTGAAGAAAGAAAGTTGTCCAAAGTCCTCTTTTTTCCCCTTTTTAAAAAAAAATGTGTTCATGTACGTGACCTGTCATACTGGGTGAGTCAAATAAAGTCAAACCCAAACCCAAACAATTATATTTCATATTTAAAAAAATGTGTAGCACCAAAGATAATAATGACTGGAAAGCTAATTTCATAAGGTACTTTTAGATGAAGAAATGACTGAATTTGGTCAATCCATTCAGAAAATATCACCATTTAAACAGAATGACCCTAAAACCTGTCTCGTCCAAAAAATGCGATTTCAAGAATCTTCAAATGTCACCAAACATCACCAGCGATACAATCTCAGTGTAAACATTAAAAATATTCAACAGAATCCCTTTGAAGGCCTGTCCTTTATTAAACAATGTAGATTTTATAAATCATATTGTTTGCCTAACCAGGGATGTTAAAAAAGATATTGTGTACTACAGTTGGTGACAGTTGTTGAAACAAGTATTCTGTGTCATTTTCTCTGTTGTTCCAAATAGTCAAAACACACGGTGAATTGTTTTTTTTTGGCGATATAGGTTTTAGGGTTGTGGTGTTTAAATGGTGATATTCTTTGAACGGATTGATTTCCGCTTTTTTGGACTCACCCTGTAGTCCATTCTTTTCACCTGTTGCTCACATAATATTTCCCATAATGTGGACATTTCTGAATGTGACAGTAGAAATAAATATCATGGTTCATGTGTGAACATTGTGTTTTCACGCATTATGGAACCCAGCAACAACAAAATGTTTGAGGGTTAAAAACAAATCATACATTTCCGGTAAAGAGCTTTTGAAAAAGATCTTTTTTTTTAAAATATATTTCCAGTCACAGAATTTCTCTCATATTTAATATATTCTGGGCATACAGCATTCTTCTAGGACATAACTGGTCACCAAAGGGTTTAAATAATAAATACTCTCATTTCAAATTAGTTGCTTAATTATTACATGTATGCCCATATTCGATAGTTATTTATTCTGTGTATTCTTATCACAAACACAACAGTGCACGCTTGCTGACTGTAAATTTACCAGTAACATCTTTGTCGGGATTCCAAATTTACATTTCTGCATGTTGAATAATATATAGAGTGCCGCCGGCAATTTTGTGCCCAGAATCGATGGACCAGAGTTCTATTTTAAGAGCGACATGGTTGAATGTCACTGACGATCAAGGCAATACATTCATTTTACTATAATGGCAGCTGGGGGGGGGGGGGATTTTGTAACATTGGCCACTTAGCTGTATAAAATTGTGACTTTGCTGAAGGTTCACTATCCACTTTTAAATTGTTTTTCTCTTTAATCTGTTTCTATGGCAACGGAAGTTATACAATGCAAGTGCATGTGAATTAGTCTAGATATCAGTTGGCTTCATGTTTAAAGGGAAATGATTGTTTCAAAGAAAACAACCAAACAAAGCAAAATATTCTTCTAAGTTGACCCTACAACATATTATATTTTGGGGGGACAGTATGGACGGCGAGGTTTATGTCTTGTGTAAATGCCATTCCAGCTTGCAGCCTGTAATGTTCTCCATGTATCTATTTTTAGATCTATCACTGTGTATAAACTGCGATGAATTGATTGAAGAGTTTATATTTGGCACGAATCTGAAAGCTTTTTGTAGTTAAACTCAGGATGAAATATTTTCAATGAATTTTAAGTACTTTTCAATTTTTTTTTTTTATCGTTTAAATTCTCCCAAATTGCATAAATGATTTTTATAATGTAGTTAAAAATAGGGAAGAAATTTTAAGTTCTGTGACTGGAGGCTGAGAAGACAATACTGCATCAACCTCGTCCCCAGTGCTTACTTTATTTCCAACATCGTTTCCAATAGTAAACCCTGGATAGGAAACTTTCTTCCTGTATCCTGATTCGATACCGCAATTGGCTAGTAATGGATTTTTATCGTGTACTTGGTGTTGTTGTTCACAACGTGCAGTACGTGTTTTCGCGATCATTCGTCCACGCCTTCTCGAAAATATTAATTTCCTTTCCAATTTGTTAATATTTATATGACATGTGATCTGCATATTTGTTTCGTTAAGATCGTAACAGTTTAATTGAATACAAATCGTGTTTTCGTAACTCACGCCATGCTCGCGCTGCTACGTATTGACTCTGTTTTTACCTCAGACACCGCATACAAAAACAAACGCTAATGTAACGCACATGCAGGCACCAGACTATTCCTCATTTGCATACATGTTCAAAAATCTTGCACATGCAAATGATCCAATACCAGGGTGAGAGAGCAAGTAGTGATGGGCGCGTACTGCTCGACACCCTGGGGACGAGGTTGATACTGCATGGAACCAGAACTTTTCTTACATTAAGAAACCTGCACAGTGCATTATCACTGCCGTTTGGTTCTTGCGTAAGATTTGAAATCCTAAATCCTGTTAAATTTTCTTGAAATAATATCTAATTATAGTAAATCATTCTTCGTTAAGTCCAAGGCATTTTTTTCTCTCAAAATTTATCTCATGTTTTATTGGAGGAAAAGTCCGATCATTTTATTATATTTTAATATAATAAAGATCTTTGTGTCATGCTGTGTAATAATATGCATGTGTGATCAATTTGAAGAAACTTGGTATTGTGCAATTTTTGTATTGGTTGTCAAAATCCTTTATACGTGCTTGAAAATGTATGCAAGGTCCATGAACCCCTGTACTATTTTAAGAGTCAGAGACAGTGAAAAAGCTATCCATTCCCCTACCATGCCTTTTACACAGGCTAGTCACAAACAGTCAGATCATGTTTGAAGCAAGCACTCTGACTAGTCAAATTCAGTCAACAGACAAAAGCAGGAAACTGGTGTGCACAGTTGTCTTATCAATCACCTACAGTCAAATCACAGCTGTATCAAGTTACATAAACAGTCCCAACCAGTCAATCCTGCTTTATGTGGGCTGGGAGCTCTTAACTGTTGAAAAGGCCACAAAAAAAGTCTGGTATGGAGCTTGCCCCAAAAGTGGTGCGCTGACGCGGCTTTTTTTTTTTTTTTTAACCTGTTTTATGGGGGTTTTTTTGGCTTCAAATGTCGGCTGATGACTGCAAGTTGTGCCCGACTAAACTTAGTGCAAATATATGGGAGTCCAGAGAGGCCACATAAAGCTTATTCTCGATCATAACCCCATCTAAAAACACGTTAAAATTGTGCAGCAGCAGGATTCCAGTCAAACCAGTGAGTTTGGCGGTTTTGAGACATCATCTTGTATTGAAAAAAAAACTTTTTCATTTTGCCGACGCGCATGGCTACGGCGACGCGTGCGCATACCAGAAACCGGAGACTTTTTTTTTTGGCCAAACAGTCACTTGATTGATTTTGACTGAAAGAATGTATGTTTGCATAGGAGGGTTAATATCTGGCTGGCTGAATGGCCAAATCCAGAATAGTTGATCATTGTCTATATTCTTTAATTCCCATTGTATCTGCCACCTGTTATTGTCATGGCAATAGTGACGGGTGTCCTTGTCACATGTCATTATTGTCACGTTGTTGTCATTTTTCAAATTGACTGTGTTAACCTTGACACTGTATGAATCCACATTACACTACACTATTTAGTGGTTTGTCACACCCCTAGTGTAAACAAGTGCACAAATCATTTCCATTAACAAAGCTGCAAACCGGGGAAAAGGCCAATGGGGATCACTCAAAGAGGATACAGCTTTTTGTTTCAATCTTCAAATAAACGACAAAAGTAAACTGACTATGTTCGTTATTATAATTTTCAAAGTTGAACAAAGAAATTGCTAATGTAGCATCGTGACTTTGGGCGTGATCCCTGGCTACATGGCATTATACAGAGGCGGATCCAGGGGAGGGGGGCAAAGGGGGCCATGCCCCACCCCCCCCCCCCAAAAAAGTGACGTCGAAATAAAGGCAGGCGATGAGTACATGACCATCTTTGCCTCAAAAAAAAAAAA